GTGCTAACGTTTCGGCGAACATCACTTCTTCGGAGCCTGCAACTCAAAACCTATCATTGAAGCAAGTCACCCAATCACCATTTCAAACTCCAGTAAGAAAACCTTGGGCTAAGATATCTTAGAACTAAGTCGTAAAGCCACCAGCCTTTTGACAGATAGGAGTTCTACCGGGCACTCCGAGTCTTAAGACTGCATGAAGGTTTTTATATGTTTTGAAACTCCGAAGTAACGGGTCAGAGGGCTGGAGGGGAACAACGAAGGACGGGCCACCGCTGTAATTAGACCAACTCAAGGGACCAATTTGAAGTGCAGTGGTCAACAGTTGAATGCGAGAACCAGCCTGTGGAGCAAGAGTGATTCAAAATTTTTCTGGCAGCACCGGAACTTGTAGAGACCCCCACCCCAGGGTTGATCCCGTAGATCAATAGACCCACAGGCGCCAAATGTTGTGGGGCCCTGCCCCCACGCATTCAACATAATGATCGATTCAAAGGGTAATAAACCCCCGTGGCGCCCCCCCCCCAGGGGTATTGACTGCGTAGATCAAAAGCCGCGAAGGTCCGCGAAGGGTGCCAACTCTCTGGTAATCGCAATGCACTCCTCCTTCCTGTTGATTTTAGGGTTCTTGGCGGTAATCCAGCTTCAAGTGTCTTGCGGGCCAAAACATCCTGTTCACGTGATAGATCACTATTTCCACCGCGATGTCCACACTTGGATGTTTTTGAGCCTCGTGGTCGTCGAGGAGTGCATATCTTGGTCTCTCAAGTCCATCCAAGTGTTCTTTCACCGATGCAGGGCGACCTTGCCGTTTCACCCACAGCCCAGACCATAATACCACCTCCTCTAAAATTCCGCCTGGAAAAATGAAGCTTCTCTTTCCTAAGATCGTGCCAGTGAAACCCATTTCCGTGTGGACCGTTGCAGTTGAACTTTTTCTCATCAGCAAACACGACCTAAAACTCAAAAGGCAAGACAGACAAGCAGTAGGGCACCACTCTGATCGGTTCGGCACCATCTCCTAGCAAAGTCGATTCGCTTTTCACGACGGATTTCTTTCAGAAACAGTGCCTTCCTCATTTTCCTCGAGGAATGAACTCAGACTCTTCAAGAAACGCCGAACAGTTTCCTCTGAAACGTTCAGCTTCAAAGTTGACTTTATTTCCCTGCGCGACATTGGAGAATTTGATGCTGCTCTCGAAATACGGCGCTTATCCCAATCGGAGAGCAGAAGAAGACGCTCAGAGCTCTTCTTAACTCCATATCCTACAGGTTGCTTGACAAAATTGTTGATCACGTGATGACTGCGACCCAAATCCTGTGCGATCTGACGCGCCAGTCCTTGAGTCTTCTTGGCGATTATCTGTCCTTCCTCAAAGTCCGATAATGAATGATCTCTTGCCATAGCCTAGAACAAGCAAAGAGTCACAATGATGAGACAGTTTTACCCAACAAAAATTAGGCGCAGCTACAAAACATGGGATGGGCCTATCATTTTATGGAATTGTCAGAGTACCACTTTCCAAAAAAATGAACAAAAAAAAACTTGTTCTATAAAGTTAGTTTCTGGTGCTAGCATGCGAGCTAGTGTTGATTATTACCTCATCAGTCGCATCGCCCAGCTGTCGCCGGGCGCTCCACCTTCTGTGACATGGCCCAGCTTCGCCGAGCTATGCGGATTTGCCACGTGCTAGGTTACGGATCGTTGACCAACCAAACTGTTCAAAGGAATCTCCTGCATTAGCCAACAACTGAAAAGCAGCGCTCATTCCGTCAAGACGCAGAAGCAGCAGCAGGGCCCCCACCTCATCACAGAAGGAGGGGAGCCAGCCTTAGCCAGCGATCCGACTGGTACGTTCATAACCTACAGGAATAATGGAGCCTGTTAGGTTAGCTGCCAAAGCAGCCTATGATATGCATTCTGTCGCCTTAAAGCGTCTTGCTTTGGAATGCACTCCCGCATTCAGCAGTGGAACGCGTTGAATGGCCCTCACTAAGGTTGTTGATGGAAGGTAATTGTGGTAAGAGTGATTGTCAACTGCTGCTGTTCATAACATCTCTGTAAACAAACCCCATTCATTTGGAATAGAGCTAACTTAGTGGTCGTACATGATTCCGGTACTGAGATGATGGTGACGAATGCGTTGTGTTGGAGGAGTTATGCTTGAGTCATATCGATCGCATTGTTGCTGTGAGCGGTGAAGCGATTTTTCCATGTTACCTTGCCACTTTTAGCTCCTATCACTTCCGTAGCCGCCAATAATATTCCCGTCCCGTATCACTATCAATAACCCTATATCGCCTCTCCGATCCGAGGTCCCACTGTTGCTGTAACTTGCGCTACAAATTTGATGACCCTTCCCTTCAGAGGCTGCTTATCCTATCTTATCAACTGTTAACTTTCTGTCGCTCGCCAATGATGTTCTCGTCCCACACCCTCTATAACCTCTCGAATCCAAGGACCCACTGTTCCTGCGAGCCGCACTGTGAATTTGGTAGTCCTTCCCTTCTAATGCCCATTATCAAATTTTATCAGCTGATATCACATCCTGTCACCTACCAATAATGTTTTCGTCCCACCCCCTATTTCACTGCTCGGAACCAACGTCCCACTGCTGCTGTCACCTCGTTATGGACATGGTGAATTCTCCCTTCTAACGCCTCTTATCGTATCTTATCAGCTGATATCACTTCCGGCCACCCACCAATCGTGTTCCCGTCACACCGCCTACATCACTTTGAAATCAATGTCTCACTGTTATGGGGCCGGCGCTATGAATTTCCTGACACACAGACAGATGCACACACACATATACACACACTTACAGACATACTTAGCGGATTATATAGAGTAGGATGAGGGTATCCACAATCAAAACAACATCGTATGGCCTTTTTAGTATCAATCAATTTGCAATTCTTCTAGCGGTTGTTTTCTTATCTGTTGTTGTTGCTGCATGCTTCCACTCGAGCGTGCGCTACGCACCCCCTCACCGGACCCCTTCATTTGCACATGCTCAGGTCCGGCTGAGCACGTGCAAGGGAAGGAAGCAGAGGGAAGGGGTCACTCGGTGCCCCCCCCCCCTTGGCTTCACCCCACCCTGCCCTCGAGCTTACGTCCAGCTGCCACCCGAGCAGCTCGTGCTATGGCTCGGAGCGTACCGAATGGTTGTCTTATATATGCTGTTATCACAATCAAATCATTGGATTGATACATCTGCAACGATCGGATCCCGGTTTATCTTGCGGTCGTTTTCTCCTTTCACTAACCTGTTTAATCCTGTGAAGCACTTTGCGGACACACAGACATACAAACCGACATACATACCTACATACCGACAAACCGACACACAAAGTTTCTGCTTTATAGAATGTAAGGATTTTCTACTTGGGGAGATTTTTGAAAACCTCGTCTAAGGCGGGATTTTGTAGGACTTATGGGTGGAACTATCATTAGGAGCCGTGTATGTAAGAAAAAACTCCATTACCATGAGCCAATCCAATCAGTAGGATTCGCCAACTTGGCTGAGTGGATTTGCGAATTCGTCAGTTCGCCAATCCACTTAGTATAAACAACGATCACCATTGGTTCCTAGTACCAACATGACAGAACGATGTGTCAAAACTTCTCAGTAACTCACGAGTATTCGAGATCAAGTGTTCTTTCCTCATTATTCTGTAAAACTAGTCGCAGGGTGCGTCCTGTATCGTGGCATCCGCGGAGTAGGGGACGTACGCACAGGTTTCGCATTGAAAAAGCAAATGTGAGCAGTGGCAGCATTTATGGAATACTGCAGACGCATCCGTGTGATTCGCCTGATTGATAGCAAGGGAATACATGACGAATTGCTATACTTTCTGAGGCGTGCGCATTTATTCGGGTCGCGGAGGCATACGCGACAACGAAAACTTCCTGAGTACAAACTCAAACCACCTTTTCAGATTTGTGAACCTGCGCTCTTGTCATGGGTGCAACTCATATCCTAAAAAAACGGGCGAAATTTGGAGACCAGTGCCCTACAGCTTCGTCCTCATGCACACTTCAGTGTAGAAAGCGACACCCTACTGCGGTTGCGCACTCAACGGGCAAGGACCGGCTTCAAGAGAGTGCAGTTTGTCTTCAACTGAATGAGGCATATATTTAATATTGTTTTTGACGGTGATGCTAATAACGCACAGCGCTCTAGACTCTAGCGTGGCATTCAAAGCATTTGCCAACCAAACACTGCCGTTCCTACTACTTTGAGGCTCATGCTGGTTTTTGAGAGCTGACAACGAGAACACCAGCAATTGTTCACGCCGATACCGTATCATTTATGAAGACAGTGCGTGACTCCCTAATGCAATTTTATTTTATACGAACTTCTAATGTGGGATGATGTTGAGGGACCCAACGACCGAAGTTGCGTATGACTGATTCTCACAAAATGGCTGTATTTCCTATGGATTTTTTGCAGGGAACTTAGTTTTCCAACCGTTCAGAAACGTTTTCAGCACATTCAGAGAGCTTCCGAAAGAGGTCTATAGCAGCTAGCCCAAAATCAAGCCCTCGACATTGCTGACCTCGAGACGGACCGCGTAAGCGTTGAACTACTGCATGGGCCGTGCGTCAGAAATACAGTAGCAGTCAAAAGACTTCGCCTAAACGATCATCCCTGCATATCGGTTCTATACCTCCAATGCTGAAAAGGAACCCAACATATGTATTCTAAATCGTTCTTGCCGACAATAACTATGCCGACAATAACTACGTATCAGCATTTCATTCAGGCATTGAAAAGTTAGTGTAAAGAGTACAAGTTCGCTTTTACGCGATGAAATCTTCACATTGCTGCAAGATTGTTATCTGAAGGCCGCTGTGGGAGCACGCTATCGCGAACACAGCCGCTCTTACAAGTCCATCTTACAAGTCCAACCAATTGAGCCACCTTCCCCCCCCGCATCCTCGTTTTATACGGAAGTCCCTTCAGTGATGGGATCGAGATTGCAAACGATCTTGGTCTATGGAGGTTTTCTTATATCATGCTTTGGGTTCATAGCGAAAATTAGTAAAGATAGGGAACATGAAGTTTCAGTATATTGATTATCAGTGCAACTGTTATCGGTGCATACACTTGAATCTTCGCAATTGATGTTTTTCAGTACCAATACACCAACGATACCTATCCTGTTGTGGTGTTCATACATGGAGGAGATTTCCAGTCAGGAGGAGGAAGTGACTACTCCCAGCAGGCAATTCTCGATAATTTTGTGTCGCGAAAAATTATCTTTGTTACCTTCAACTACAGACTTGGGCCTCTAGGTAAGTAACTGATTAACAAACTGACGAATTCATTTCGAGAGTAATAATGCTGATGTCTGCATAAACTAGCGCATCAAGCGCTAAACCCTTTTACATTACACAAGAAGCTAAGTTCAGTATCACCGCCACGGTACCATAACACATAGCTGCGCCCAATTGATTGTAATTCCGCAGCGGACCTACGTGTGTATAAGCCCGTACTTTACGCCAGTACCACTCGAGACACTGCACTGATATTCTTGCATATAATGCACCGTTCAAGGGTGGACGGGAACTTCATGCACATTCCATTCATGCTTTCTCTCGTCTCCACATAGGGTGACAACAAGTCGAAGCGAACTGAGTGTGCACTGTTATTGCTCCAAACAAATGGTGTCGCTACGAAGTCATTTCAGCAGTCAAGTCACATTTTTTTCCGTTTAGGGGTTGCGATGACGGCGTTTTTTGCTTTTCATTCATTAGGCGTGCGGTGAAATTCCATGCAGTAAGTTGGGAAAGAACATGTAGAGGAGATTCCTGTCGGAGAAAGTTAATGCAGCATTTAGCTATCACTATTCCAATCTTCTTAAGACATTTTCGACCGGCTTTTTTGGTTGAAAACTCGGTTTAAATGGGTAATTCGACCTCCTCAACACCAATATCACATCCGCTTTTCCTGAAGCTGTCTGGCGCCTGCGTCACAGGCGCCCACGCCAAGAATTCTGAATCACCGAATTTGCTGAAAAATTCTCCTCAGGGGTAGTTTGACGTCCTTGACACGAATACCACATCCGCTCAGCCTGAAGGTGCCAGGTTCTACCATAAAAGAGCGCTGAATGGCGCTCGTGTTGAAAAAGTTGGCGCCAGGGCTAAGACTGATTATCGTGTTCGTGTTCAGGGTACCGAATAACTCCAGTGTGCAAGTTTACATCGATTTTTGGGAGAAAAGTGGTAGCGCCAAGCGGGCGCCCAGTTGCGCCGAAAAAGTATGTCGTACTCGTGATCAAGACATCGAATCACTCTCATGGGCGAACTTCACCGAAAAATTCCTTTGCCTTCTTGAGTTAGTAATAGTTGAAAAGTGCCAAAGTTGAAGGCAATTCGGCTCATTATTCCGAACAAATTATTCTCCACTTGCAAATAGCGATAAAAGTAAGCGTTGTAAGTGTATGAAGCCAAATGTACAGGGGGGGGGCAAAAAAAGATATTCACCGACCGATCACATATCAGCAAAGTTTTCGCAGCCCAGACAGAGGACGTGGTTGCGAGTAGGGCGGAAGATACCCAGAATGTTCTTCTATAAGCAGGAGCTGGCGTTCGCCCATCACCTTCATGTACGCCAAAATATGAAAGTCATCTCCGCCGCAACCTGACTGGAGAAGACCTTCGGAATTCAATGTCACCTCCGAACAGCTGCGAAACTTCTAGTATGGTCACCCACGAGTAGCTACCTGGAGAGCAGTACTCTCGATCTGGAAAACCTCCATCATCGAGCAGCTCCGTCAACGTCGCTACGGTCTAGGACATCATCTTCACCTCAGGCGCATGGCGCCAGTTGATGGTGGGGACCGGACGTACCTGGAGTGGAGTGACCGATATCTTTTTCGTGGGCCCCGGACTGAGGGTGAGCGCTGGCGCGTTGCATCGAGCAACTCGAGAAGAAATATCCTCTCCACATGGTGTGCGTTCATCCGTACCTTCTTGGAAACTTTGTACTGCTACAGCATTGAGTCCCAAAGGCGTTGGAGAAACTCTTGCCTACTTGTAAGTTGAGTACCTGAAGAAGGTGGAATATCTAAGCAGGTAACCTGGCCTAAGCCCCCTCAATTACCTGGCTCGGGCGGAGTTCAATAAGGTGGTCTACAGTGGCGGAGAAGTCAACGATCTCGCTAAACTCACGCACCCACTGACGGTCTCGTGGCAGAATCTCTCGATGGCGCTCCTCCAGAAGGCTGTGGCAGAGTATCATGATAGTATTTGATATGCTCTTCAATATGGTGGGGAAATGTCCGATAATAATTCAACAAAGTGTAACTTATAGCGCCTCGAAAGTCGAGAAAGAAAAAGTCTTTTTTTTGCCCCCCCCCCTGTATGTAACGCTGCGCATAGGCCCGAAATGTAGAACCCCTATGTCGAGACGAAAGAAAGCTCAAATGTGATGTGCACGAAGTTCCCGCCCATTCTTGAATAATGCTTTATCTGCAAGTATTTCAGCACAATTCTCATAGTGGTACTTGCCAAGAGTGCGGTGTTATATAGGTCCGATGCTGTGTCTCGAGTGGTACTGGCGTAAAGTACGGTGTTATACACACGTAGGTCCGCTGCGGAATTACAATCAATTGGGTGCAACTTTCGGTTACAGTACCGTGACGGTAAAACTGACGTAGCTTCTTGTTCACATGACCAGTTTGCTTAGAAAAACGCAACTCTCAAGAAAGTTTCTTCTCACTTGGTAGTTTTCAGGAAGTGAGTGTAGCGTTAGGTTACTGATCATGAGTATACCGCTCGTAGTTCGTGAGAAGCTGACCGCCCGTTGAGTCGCTTTACGCCACTCAATAATAGATTACCAGTCGGCTTTGCCGAGCGACATATTTCCACATATTTCAACACCCACCTAGTATCCGGCTTTTCTTTTATTTGAACAGATGGTCAACATTCCTTGACCAATAGCATGTTCATATTCCACATCATTCGTGCTATTTTCAACACTATTACGGTGTATGGAATGGTAGTTAAGGAGCGTTGATCAAGTGGACAGATGAGAGAAAGGTCGGGTATCAGTCGAGCATTCGATCATACGAATGCAGGTAGGCGCAATGGAGCCAGGCCGAGGGGGTCTGGAGTGCCTGATGTGCTCCGGAACCGCTTGAAGAGTTTTTAAGACCGGCCTCGCCCACCTGGACGCACGCTCCTCACACAACGGGTATCCCTCACACTTGTAAACCGGTGACCCCTTGATGACCTACTTTTTCCCGGTGTCTGGACTATTCAGAAACCAGTTCAGGAATTTTCAAAGTTGGCAGCGCTCACCACCACGCACGCTCCGCTCACAACATGTGTGCACGATTGTGGACCAGTGACCCCTCGATGATTTTCTTTTTCTCAGTGTCTGGAGTGCTCTGGTACTCCGAATTTTCTTTATTTGGCTCCGCCCACAGCGGGTGTGCCTTTCACTTGTGAATCGATGACCTCTCGGTGACCTGATCCGTTCTTCCCAGTGTCTGGAGTGTTCTGGGACCGTTTTAAGGAATGTTTAATTAGCTCCGCCCACCTCGCCGCACGCTCCCTTCGCGACGTATGCCGCGCGCTACTCAACCGATGACCCATCGCTGATCTTAAACTACTTATTCCCGGTGCCTGAAGTATTCTGGTGCTCCGCCCATAACGTATGCATCGCGCTTCTTGACCGATGAGCCATCGTTGATCTTAAACTTGCACTCCACACACCAGAAAAAGTAGTTCAAGATCAGCGAGGGGCTATAATTGAGAAGTGCGAGGCTTACTTTGTGGGCGGAGCATGCCCCTTGGTGGGTGGAGCTGAATTAAAAAATTTGTAAAACGATCCCAGAACATTTCAGACACCGGGAAAAAGTAGTTTAAGATCAGCGAGGGGTCATCGTTGAGAAGTGCGAGGCGTACGTTGTAGGCAAGGCGTCCGCCGAGGTGGGTGATGCCAAACTAAAAAATTCGCAGTGTTTGAGATCAGCTGGGGGGGGGTCATCGGTTGAGAAGCGGGAGGCATACGTTGTGGGCGAAGCATGCCTCGTGGTGGGTGGAGCTAATTAAATAATCCCTGAAACGGTCCCAGAACGTTTCAGACACCGGGAAAAAGCAGTTTGAGATCAGCGGGGGGGTCATCGGTTGAGAAGCGGGAGGCATACGTTGTGGGCGAAGCATGCCTCGTGGTGGGTGGAGCTAATTAAATAATCCCTGAAACGGTCCCAGAACATTTCAGACACCGGGAAAAAGCAGTTTAAGATCAATGACAGGTTATTAGTTGAGAAGCACGAGGCATTCTTGTGGGCATACGTTGTTAAACTCTGAAACGGTCCCAGAACTAATAACCTCTCGTTGATTTTCAACTACTTTTTTCCGGTGTCTGGAATGCTCTGGAACCGTTTTACGAATTTCTTGACTTGGCCCCACCCACCTCGGGGCACGCCCCGCCATAACATATGCCTCGCGCTTCTCAACTAATAACCTGTCTTGATCTTAAACTACTTTTTCCTGGTGTCTGGAGTGCAGTGCAACCGTTTTGCAAATTCTTTCCAAATTTGGCTCCGCCCACCTGGGCGCAGGCTCCGCCCACAATGGGAGTGCCTCGCAAATTCCTACATTGATCACTTAAGGACCATAATCCTTTTTTTAACCCTTTCATGCAACACTGGCAGGACTTTCTTTCCAACCTAGTACATGCTGCCGTATCTGCCACATGAGTCATTGGCAAAATGCCTACAGGATACTCGTCCGCAATTGTTCTTTGAGTCATAAAAAACAAAGACTTCGCTTCGCAGGTTTTTGGTCGTTTCACCTCGTTTTTTCGCCATTTCCTCCCCCCCCCCACTGTATTGCGCCTGCTAGCATTGTGGACCGAGTACCAAATTATCGTGCCATATATTTTTTTAAGCGCAAAAGCGGCCCGTTGGTGAGCCGAGTTAAGCGCGCCTGTAATTGAAAGAATCACCTGTTTTAAAAGAATGAAATAACAGTTTTTATGTTCAAGTACCAGTCGGAGTATTTGTAAGCCAGCAAGTGTTTTATGCAGCGAGTACATGAGTGAGTCATAATGTACTTTTTACTTCGGATTGAAGACTTTAGACCAAATTCACGATACTTCAAGCCAAATTCACGGCTTTTCAAACCAAATTCACGACTCTCTAAAACAGACTCGAGACTCAATTACCCAAGCCTTACTAGACACAACTGCAATTCCCGCCCCTATAGCCATGCCCACATTTCAGCGTGGTCGCGGTTTCCAAACTTGTTTTATAACTTCTGCATTTGTGACTTTTTAAACTTTT